CAGGATGTAACTGGGACCCTGTGTACATAATTTCGCTCCACCACATGTACCACATGAGGTGCGAATGACAATAAAGAAACTCTGACTCTGACGTTGTGGGGTCTGCAGCCTCGGGGAGTCTCAGTCAGCCTGTAGGTGGCACTTCAACCCACATATTGACTCCACGCAGCTCAATGAACCTAATGTCCTCTGTGCTCTCACATCCACCCAAATCATCTGCCCCTGACCCAAACTGGAACAGCAGACTCTCTTCAGGAGGTTTCTGAAAAGTGCCCCCCACACAAATAAAGCAAGCGGTGGAGAGCGAGTGCTTCCAAAGGTGCAGAGGGCTGCAGGTGAAGGGTCGTTCACAGGGAACAGAGGTTTATTTCCATGTGAGCGTGCACAGGGAGTCAGCTGTGATTGTTGTCCAGTAGAATGGAGAAAACATGTCCTGCTCTCCAGCCTCACGCTGGACTCACGTGCAGCAGACGCCTATTTAAAGCAGCTGGGCCATACTTTAATGTATGTGGCTCCTGTTGCACCGTTTTTTCTTCCTTTCTGCAGATAAACCCACGTGAGCCGAGGCTGCTCGCGTTCTGATTGGCTGGCGTGTCGGCACGTGTACCAGTGACTCCCCCATCCGTTATGTAACGTGTAGTGGTGGAGCAGGAAGGGGAGGGACTGCTCCTGCTGTTTGCAGTCCATTCATACCACAAGCTGAGTCTAACAACGTTCACTCGGGTCTTTGGACGGATTCTTCTCATTGAAACGTTGCATCTTTTATCCAAACGACTTCTTCAGTCTGAGGAGCCGCAACAAACTCAGAACCTTCTCATAGTGGATCAACCAGTTTTCTGGTGACAGCCAGCTGTTCACATGCAAAAAGGGGAACATCAGCATAATGAGTGACGCTTACTATTCACAGAGGGCTGAGCGATGCAACGACAGCGTCCTTAGAGGGGGACAGTGGGGCATGAAGGCCTCGGCCCCGTTAAAACATGGACACGTTTGTTAAACAAGACAGAGTCGTCCGTCTCTTGGCTGTCACCAGCAAACTTATAACATGTTCCACCTGAGAGTCTTCTGTTATTCCATCCATCCATCCATCCAATCAACCAACCATCCTTCCATCATCCAACCAA